GAGCACTCTGTTCCCTCATAAAGAGATACTCCTTTTCCCGTGAGCCTGTGTGTGTGGACTTTCTAATTGCAGGGGTTGGTGCTCCCTGTGACACCTGGTGCTTGGGTATACAGGGGGGTTGAGTGGTTTTTCTCCCACACTGTGGTCATTTGGGACTGCACGGTTGTGTTTGGGGAGATTTTAGGATTTTGTTTGCAACAAGTGCAGCAATTTATGCAGAAAACTACAGTGTGGTGATTTATTATGTTGAACTATGGCAGTTCCTTTCTACCACCCCCTTCCCCAAGGGTTTAAAGTCTTCTGCCACGAGGTGGACGCTCTCTTTCCTCCCCTGGACATCCTCTTTCCTCCCTTGGACACTCCTTTTCTCTCCTGGAGCTGTTCTCCATTAAAGCTGTGGGATTTTGGTCCCGGGAAGAGAGAGCGCCTCTTGTCTTTTGCTTTTGTCCTTGTCAGTGTCACTGGGTCCACAGCTCGCCAAACTGATCCCCCACGAGATGAAAACTGACAAATGGTCCCATATACACAGATCAAAAATTGGCCACATTTTTGATGGACCGGGATGTTCGCCACACTTTTGGAATTCCCTATTCCCACACAGGTCAGGCAATTGTTGAAAGGATGCACCACTCTAAAACCCATTCTAGATCAACAAAAGGGGGAATGGCCGAAGCAATACCCCAGATGAGGTTGAGCAAAGCTTTAGACGTCTTTATGTTTTGAATAGCTCATTTGCAGGACCTAGTCCTCCAATTTTTAGGCACTTTTCAAACAGCACACAGGAAAAATTGAAAGAAAATCCTTCAGTTTTGATCAGAAACCTTCAGTTAGGACAAATTGAAGGACCATTTGCACTAATCGCTTGGGGCAAAGGGTATGCTTGTATTTGCACAGGTGCTGGACCTAAGTGGGTCCCCACGAAGGATGTGAAAGAGCACAGCGACAATTCCACCAGCAGGGAAATGAGCACGCAGACGTGAGCCGCACAGAGAAGCGACGGTTCATGCCAGACGTTCCCTGTTCAACCTGTGAAAGCTACAAATCTTGAGTTTGATGTTGATTTTTGGACTGTGAAAATGGTTTGTATCATAGAGCTCTTTCAGCAAAAGCGTGGTGTCCATTGTTTTCAAAAGAATTCTAAGATATCCAAATTTGTAAAAATTGAAGGTTAGTGCCCTATAGTTGGCCAGTCCCTGAACAAGTGCTAAAAGATTTGCTTGAGAACTGAAATAGATGGGGAAGCTTTTGCCAAAAAACAGCTGAACAGGAACACCGAGTTTGATCAAATGATATACTGGCGCTTGTTGGTTTTGCTTGCTTGCTTTTGCATGCATACATGCCTGTAGATCAACCAAAAATGAATGTTTGCCTTGCTTTAGCCAAGTCAGCAGGCTCAGACACCATGTGTTTGACCAATTTGAGCCCAGACAAATCCTTTGCAACCTGTTTGGTCGGTGTGCCTGTGCCAGGCAAGGAGTAGCCAATACCCAATCGTGACAAATATTGGTGTGAGGCTGCCAACAAGACCAATCCCATAACCAGCTGGCATCATTGGGCCCCTGATCCTCTTAAAGCACTTTCTGAACCTCAAGAATTGGAATTCCTGGTTCATTGGTGATGGAATTTTTTGCTGAGTTTCAGTACCAGGGAGATCCACAGTTAAATGTTACTCCCCATCATCCTGAGGACAGATACTCAAGTTTGGGGTGCAATTGTACTACCCCAGTGTCCCCTAAGGGTGAAACTGCTGACAGGTAGATGACCTAGATGAGTCCCCATGACAATGAGCAACAGAATATTGGCTCATTTGTGGAGATAAAGCCTGGCAGGACATTCCCTCAGAAATTAAATGTGGCCCATGTAGCATCAGACAACTCACTGTGATAGCACCTAGTGTTAAGTAAGCCATCAAGAGAAAACACAGAGAAAAAAGATGTGCCCATCATTAAAAAGAAAACTGTAATAGCAATTTCAGACCCTAGGGCCCTGCAAAATGAGGTACATCAACTTGATTTCTCCATCAACTTGCCTCGGGCGAGGCATGAAACCACTATACCGATTGGGGTGTTGTCTGAAGAAAGAAGACAGTGCTACTTCCATTGCAATTAGTGACATGATGGCTGATGTTAGTGCTGTCAGACATGCAACTTTACAGAACAGAGCAGCAATTGATTTTCTTTTACAGGCACATGGACATGGTTGTGAGGAATTTGAAGGATTGTGTTGCATGAACCTTTCTGATCACTCTGAATCCATCCACAAAAGCATACAAAAGCTGAAAGATTCGACAGCTCCAATTAAGGAAGATGGTGGGTCATGGTTAGATGATTTGTTCCAAGGACAGAGCTTTGCACCTTGGCTAAGGGAACTTTGTAGAATAGGTCTCTGTAGCAGAATGAGGCCTTTGCCGGGGATGAGCCATTTGTCGGTAAGGGAAAATTCGGACACTCAATATGAGTGATAAGCAAGTTCCGTTTATTGAAGAGAGCATCAGACACTTATACAGCAAGTAATAAGCTTATGAATATTCTGTAAGCCAAGCAATCTATTGGTTAAACTATACCATCAACTCTTCCTCATTCATTTGGGCCTACATTCCCTATTTCCCATGTCTCTCTGTCTACTTGTTATCATACCCAGCTAGGCCCAAGGACACGCTATCTTGCAGGTGCAAAACTCAAACTAGCTGTGTTCGGTACTTTCTCAGCTCCTGGTTGGCTAACAAGCAAATGTCTACGTGACCTCTGTCATGTAGCCATTTCTCCAAAATTCCCCTGTTTTCTTGTTGCACAGGCAAGGTTTGATGGGTTAACTGCGTCATACTCTTTGCAATACAAGAATAGGCAATTCTAACAACTATTACATTACAAGCAGTGTTCTCCACTAGCAAGGTTTCTCTCTAACAAGGGATCTAAGCCAGGGAGACAAACCGAAAAGGCTATCACTATTTATAGGATATGCCATAAGACAGATACAGAAAGGATTCTATGCTGCTACAAGGCTCAAACAAAACTCAGGTGTGCCAATACAACCTACAAAAATAAGCTACAGGAGCAACATGTGCGCAGGTTTCATCTGCGTCGATTGTCTGGTAAGTTTGCTTTCCATTCTCAAACAGCAGATATACTTCAAACAGGAGTGGCTCTACTCACAAATGCTTCTGATTGTCTCTTCTAACTAGAGTTTCTCTGATGTTCACGACAACACCTTGCACAAAAGTCATAAAATAAATGCCTAGCATAAAAGCATAAATCTGTATAACATCACTTAAACTTAATAGCACTTAGACTTAAAATACTTAAACTTAAAATATTTAAACTTAACAGAACTTAACATCACTTAAACTTATCTTTACTTAAACTTAACAGAAATTAATCTCAACGAACTTTAACTTACCATGACTTAAGTTTAACAGACCTTAACCTTAACAAAACTTAGCCTTAACAGAACTTAAACTTAACAGATTTTCAAATCAACAGAACTTACATGTAAAATCACTTAAATTTAACAGAACTTAATTTTAACAGAAATCAACTGACTTTAAATTCTACATAACTTAAACTTAATATAATTTAAATGTAACAGAATCTAACTTCACTTAAACCTAATAACACCTAAATTTAACAGAAACTAAACTGAACAGCACTTAAACCTAACAGGACATAAACTTAACAAAACAACCTTAACAGTATTTAACATTTATTGGCACTAAATAGATAATTTAACTTAAACTATTAGCAACAGATAGAACCTATTATAGAAATAGAATAGAATGTAGAATTTACTATAACTTACATACAGGCCTGACTCTAAAATACTAAGCTAAAACAACTTCTTTCATGTGTTTGCTACAGCATTTTTACACTTGAATGCGCCTAAACATAAGGAGTTTGTCCAAGGTATAGCTGTGGAAAAATTCTTTTGAATTCAGTGCTTGCTTTTACATCTACTACATCCAAGCAAAGCTCAAAGAATACAAAAAGTACACTTATTACATCTTGCTTATACAATCGCTTTAACATGTCTTTAACATTTTTAAATTTTTCAAAATACAATTTCAGAGTTTGATATTCCACCGACTGAGTTATCTGGGCTTCTGATGTTAAAGTCTATGTTAATACAGGTGATTTTAAGGCAGCAATAATGGATGCTAAGCCAAATCGGCCGAAATTTGGCCCACGCATTCACTACTCATTCTATTTCACAGTCTCTGACAGGAAGAACAAAACTTAGGTGAGGAACGTCTTGATAGTAATGCTCCTTGGTGTCGCTTATTTATTATCACTGGTTTCTTAATTGCAGTAGGGATCTTTTCTTTTTTTGACAAGAGTCACATTTATTACGGCTGTTAGGTCTAAAACTGAAACTTCTGCCGGCCGCGGGGCGGAGGTGGGAAAGTAGTCACGCTTGGAAGGCCCTGGGATTGGGCCGCTGCTGCTCGTGTCGCTGTGGTGCAGTGGGTTAACGGAGTTGCTGCTGGACGCAGCACAGCATTTCGGCGGCGCGAGTCGCAGCCCCACGGCAGTGGGCCCCCCCCACCGCGCTGCGCCCTCTTTGCGCCGTCGCTGCTGTCGCTTCAGGCTGCCAGCAGGGCACGGCGGCCCCCACCACGGGCTGTCCGCCTGCCGCTGAGTTCCGCACACCCAGCCTTTCTGGTGCGTACCGCACCGCACCGCGGGCACGGCACCACCTGCCTCGCTCGGGCTCTGTGGCTGTTCGTATTGCTGCTCGCTGAGCGCCAGCCGGCCGCACCAAGTTTTGCACCCCGGAGACACTGTCCATGGCGGCGCCGGCTGAGCTGCGCAGCTATACTTGGAGTCTGTTAAGGTACAGTTTGTTTAGGTTGCCAAGTCGAAACTAAGGCCCCTGCTGGCTGCGGGGCGGAGGGAGAAGCGCTCGCACTGGAAAAGCGCTCTGGTCTTGCGCCGCTTGTGTCGGAGCGGGTGAACCCCCTGCGCTGGGCTCCTTGTTTCGCGAGACTCGCCGGCAGGCTGACTCACTGCATTCGCCGCACCCAGCACTGCACCCATGGCGGCGCGGGTCGCTCCCCCAGTGGCGCCTCCGCTCCCCCTGCGGCTGCCGCCGCTACCGCCGCTGCAGCGCAGCATCTCAGGTGAGCTGCCCGCCGTGGCTGCTCCCCATGGCACAGCGCCCATGGCGAGTTCGGAGTGGCACAGCTCCACAGGTGCCCCGAGCCGTGGCTGCTGCCGCCATCACAGCAGGGTCGCTGACCCACTGTGCGTATACTTGCAGTGCCAGCACCACAACGCACGTTTTTGCAAGTGTATATGCAGCAATCTCTGGAATTCTCTTCCCAAGTCAACAGTCTATAGTCCTCGCTTTTCTAAAAAGCAAATCTATACCCTGTAATCCTCGTTTCTCTAAAAAGCATCTAAAAAGGTGATTAGCCTCTTGCCTTTCCATTACCTTCTAACCTGATAGTCAGCGCTGCTGCAACCCTTTGCAAAACGTTGACGGCATTCAATCAGCTGGACTTTCCTGTGAGGTCGCCAGGCATTCAGTCAGCTGGACTCTCCTGTGAGGTTACCAGGGCACTGAAGCCCACCCTTTTGCCTTTTTCCAGGACTCCTCTGTATGGTCGCCTAAGGCAGGGCCCGCTTTTTGTGCCTCCCGGGCTGCGTCGGGACTGACACCCAAATACTGTACCGACCGTGGCTCGCAGGCCCAAATCTTCTGTAAAGTCCGTAGGGTCTGTAGGGTCTGTAGAGTCCGTAGGGTCACTGTTCAGGCACCATTTGTTGCAGAATGAGGCCTTTGTCGGGGATGGGCCATTTGTTGGTGAGGGGAGACTCGGACACTCAATATGAGTGATAAGCAAGTTCCGTTTATTGAAGAGAGCATCAGACACTTATACAGCAAATAATAAGCTTATGAATATTCTGTAAGTCAAGCGATCTATTGGTTAAACTATACCATCAACTCTTCCTCATTCGTTTGGGCCTACATTCCCTATTTCCCACGTCTCTCTGTCTACTTGTTATCGTACCCAGCTAGGCCCAAGGACACGCTATCTTGCAGGTGCAAAAACTCAAACTAGCTGTGTTTGGTACTTTCCCAGCTCCTGGTCGGCTAACAAGCGAATGTCTACGTGACCTCTGTCCTGTAGCCATTTCTCCACACTTACCAGTGAGCATTTTCAGTTCTGTCACTCATGTTTAGAGCAAGTTTTCTGTGACTCACTGCACCAGGTCGGTCCAAAGAAGAGCATTAGGAAGCATCCAGCTGTATCATTTCTCTTCTTCCTTCTGTGTACATGCTGCTTTTTTGAGCACTCTGGCTTTCTGAGCTCCCTCACATGTCTTGATTGTTTTCTGGATAACCAGAGGGATATCAGGATTAAATCCTGTCTCAGCTCTGAGGTCTGGCTTTTGAAGAGCCCCAGTCATCCTCTCCTACTCATCTCATCCTGGTCTTGGTGGAAATATTATGCCTTCATGGGATTGTTGTTCAGCTTTGGGGCATTCTGGCACTGCTGTTCAGTGGAAGATTTTGAGACTTTGAAAGGTTTCCTGGTGTGGCAATTACAATCCTCAATCCTAATGCTTGATGGCGGTTGCAGTTGCCTCAGTTGTGAAACCTCCTGAAAAACATTGTTCTTTCTTTTCTACTTGACTTTTCCTTGACTGTTTCCATCAACAGATTAGGAGGTTTGGGGATATCTTTTCAAAGGGAATTTCAATTAATCTCCTATCTGACATTTCAAAGGGGAACAGTGGTTTGGTTTTTTTTAACCAGCATCTGCTTACCATCCAATTAGCTAATTGCCTTTAATTAACCATAATACATTCCAGGAGAGCAAAATAACAAGGGAACAAAATCAAGTGGTGACGACTCTGTGACTGAACCTGGGCTTCCCCTTTCTCAGGTGCAGGATTCTGGGTAGCCCTTTGCTGGCCACTTTGAGCTCTGCCATGCAGTGCCTTAGGTTTCTGGGGAGGGAAAAGCATCCAGTCCCTCACCTCCAGGTTCACATCTGCAAATCCAGAGGCCAGTGGATATTTCTGTCCATGGGATTTGCACACTGGATGCCCCATAGGAATCTGGTTGTGAGCTTTCCTCAAAAACATGGTGAGATGAGGTGTGCAGGACTCATTTCTTCAGAAGGGCAGGAGAGACCTCTGAAGGCCTCCTCTAAAGGGCCTCCTTACCCAGCAGTCTGACACAGATTTGCTTCTGAAGAGCTTTGTAATTTGTCCTTAATATGTTCTATGTGTGATTTAATGAAAGCCTTTTTCTCTACTGTAATTGAGCTCTTAATCTCATCTGAAAAGCAGAGCACAACCTCTTCAGAGATGGCGTTTGAGTAACAGCCTCTTTGTGTTTCCTCTGCTGTGGTGCTGCTCATGGAGCTGCTCACTCCTGATTTAAGAACAGAAAATAAACAAATTTCTTTGAGTCAAAAATACATCAGTGATGGCACATAGAGTAGGTTTGAATAAAAAACTCTTTTTCTATTGGGCAAGAGATCTTCCAAGCAGGATCTTCCCTGGTTCTGCAAAGAATATGAAGGAGTGAGTTTTCCTTAGTGAGCCCCTGAGGCTTCATGCAGGTGATGCTCAGAAAATGGCACATGGGCATGGCAGCTGTCAGCAAAACAATTGGCTCTGGGCAGGTAAAAGTTGGGAAGAGATAAGAGTGGAAAGTCAAAACAACAGGATGCTGAAAAACTTGTAAGAGGAATAACGACTTCAGTGAAAATCCGTCATCTTAAAGCTTCAAAACACATTTTTACAAAAATCCACAAAGGTGTCCTGATTTTGATCAGTCTGATCTTCCTAAATAGCATTTTACAATCAGAATTAGGAGTTGAGAGACACTAAAGAAGGCTAAGCAGAGGATTTTTCATTGTGACCTTCGTATATCTTTTTTACTGTGCTGTAGTTTGGAAGGAGGCCCCAAGCTCCAGCTGCAGCCTGGGGAGATCCTGTTGACCTAAACACTCCCCAAAGCTGCTGTGGGGCTGACCCAGAACCAGAATCTGTATGGAACTGGGTAAAATACTTCCCACTAGAAAACACTTGCAGCTTGATGGTGATCCACCATTCCCAGTTCAGACCACAGGCAGTGCCAGTAGTGACCAGTTTGCTGCCTGCTCTGTGCAGAGCTGGCGGCTGTGAGTGGCAAAGCTGTGGGGTGAACAGGCTGGTGGCTTTTTGGGGCACACCGAGCCTTCCATATCTACTGCTTTGTCCCCATTAGAGAGTGGATTTTCCTAGAGAAATACCTGGAGAGTGGGAAGGATGAAGAGCAAATCATTCCCTGCCAGTGGATGCTGTGCTTGTTGCAAACACAAGTTACATCTGGTAGGAGTCCTTGCTGTCAACCCTCAGGGATTCCAGGCTGAGATCAGCTCAGCTCTGTCATTTGCCAGGGGAGTGAGCATCAGACTCCACCACACCTCCAGAGCTGGGGACGAGTGGGTTGAACCACATCCAGAGCCAGGATGAGGAATGGGCTGTGTTTTGTCTTGCCATGCACAGCAGATATCCTAATTTAAAGCTGTGCTGCCTTCCCAGATTCTGCTTCTTCCTCTGAGAAGACCCATCCATTTTGATCCTGTTCCTTTCCACCCATCCCTCTAAAGATCCCCGTTCCTGGAGTAATTGGCACTATTGGATCAACTTTTGATGTGACGAGCAGTGGATTTTTGTAGTCAACATGCCAATTTAAAGTGCCACAAATAAAAGATCAATTACTTCTTTCCTGGAGAAGAAATTAAGATAAAATCTTTCAATGTAATGGGCTGAGTGTACAAAGCTAAAGAGGTAGAAGATTTAAATGAGACTGTCTCCTGAGAGGATGTGTTTTTAATGTAAAAGTAACAAAGACAACCCAAACAGTGAGAGAGCATCACTTGAGCTGCACCTCTGTCAGTAAGGGATGGATCCCTCCTGCTCTTTCTCCTGCCTGGGGCACCTGTGTGGGGTTGGTTGTCCCTGTCATTTACCTTTTGATTGCACAACCATTTCTTAGAAAACAGTTGGCTCTTCAGACTCTCCTGGGCATTCAAGTGAGTCCAGGAGATGTGGGGGTGAGCTGATAAGTGGGTTTGGATGGTCCTGGCTGTTAGGTGTTGCTATGTTTCCTGATGCTGGTCTCCAAAGCAATCCCTGGAACGCTGCTTTTGTGGAAGGCAGAACAGCTCTGTGCTTGAAATTACCTGTTCTGGGGAAATGCAATGAATTTTCTGCTAGGAACTGCATGTAAGCAGAGATGGAGCCTGAATTAGGGATCTGCCCTTGTGGGGATCCCTTACACTGACACAAAGCTCTCTGTGCCTCTCCAGAGGGCTGTCACCCTACAGAAACATGTCACTTCAGGGCAGGGAGGGGGATTTGACATCACAAAACATCGAGGGAAAAACATCGAGGCAAATTCTCCTTTTCTGGTCAGGAAAACCAGGGTGTGTGCCTGCTGTGTTCCATGAGCAGCAAATCAATTGCTGAGGGATTTCTGCTGGGAGATTTGTGCTTTATGAAATTCCTGCCAGTGGCAGAGGGCTGGGGAGCTGGAAAGGATAGCGCTGTCTTCCTCCCCTCGGCTGCTTTAATTGTTTGTAATGATTTAATAAGCAGCACTATTCTTCCATGCAGCAAACACAGGTGGCATTTTATTACCTTTATTAGGGCCCCTATTTGGAATTTCTTTGCTGTATTTCCTTCTTTGCAAGCTTGGTCCAAAACTTGGAGAGGTCAGTGTAAGAACTGGACTTTGTGCTGTCAATATTCTGAGTGTTGAGCCAGCACCGAATCCATGCAATTTTATGGGAAAGAAATAATAAGGACAAATGACATGATTTAAACAAGGAAATGCTCTTGGCTTTGGCATTTTATGTGCACACCAGGAGTGAAAGAGCAAAGCAGGTACAAGCTCCCAGTACTTGCAGAAGAATAAATGGAAATAACTTCCTCTTTAGGCTGGGAATCAGGAGAAAATTTATACTCATCAGAAGGGTGTGTAAGTGGAGCAGCTGCCTAGTGACAGCAGACAGATGGAGAAGGGAAACCCCAAATTAAAGACTTTTAATGTGGAGTTTTTTGGATGTTGGGGTCTTTAGAAGCAGATTTTGAGAGTCCCATGGGCAATGGAGGTGACTTCCCAGGGGAGCATCCCTGTCCCATGCCTGGGATCTGCT